TTGCCAGATTTGAAACCTTCAGGGACTGATGGAATAATCAGGGGTGTGTTTGTTATATTTTAAACTTTAAATAGTTAAAAAGAGTGACTCGACCCAGAGAAGGCCCCGAGTCCCGGTCCAACAGGGTCTGATCCGGTTTTTAAAACAGTGATTATAAGAGATATCTCCTTTACAAACTCTAGTAACTTTTGTACCACTATTTTATATAAAATGATTTGAATTAATGGAAGGAAAAATAGTTTTGGAGCAATTGACAGTTTTGAAATAAACAAGTAAATCCTTCAACTATGTTTAATATCGTTGAGTTATGCACAGCCCATATGTTGCAAGATGTAAACATATGTAAGAACTTTTATAATTTTGTAATACGGTTATCACAACTAGGGGTGAAATCGAGTTGAGTCAAGTCGAGTATCTAGTAAATCGAACTCAACTTAATCGCTACAATATTGAGTTTGAGTTCGAGCTTGATTGAGCCTAAGTAATCAAGTTCGAACTCAAACTCGATATTTGAAAATGGAAATCGAGTTTGTATAATCGAGTTCGAGTTTGAACTCGATTTCAAGCTTATCTAACAGGGGTGGATTTGCAGATTTTATAACTTTTAAATTACATATGACCCCTATTATTTTAAAAACTATCAACTTGACCATCGAGTTTGGAAATATTCGTGAACATATTGAGTCGAGTTCTACTGTGATCGAACTCAACTCGATTTTCAACCCTAATCACAACACGCACAAACACCTATTACTAATTAGTATCATAACTTTCAAGTTTGTGTATTTGTATTTGAATACGAGGGAGGAAATCATATAATGGTTCATTTTTTATACGGGTCATGGTGGTAATAACTGATACACGAGAGCGTGTTGGGTTGAGTTTATCTAACAACTAAAAGAGTTTAAAGTGTATTTGGTTGAATTTATCTATGGACTAAAAGAACTTATTTAGAGTTACAAACATTTTTTTTTTTTTTTTTTTTTTTTTTTTTAGTAACTGAGATGTCCGAGCAACTTACATGTATTTCTCTGGAAGCTATCCCGTAGCAACAATCACGTTGCGTCTCAAGTAAATTTGGATAAAAAATATACCATTACACCCAACAAAAAAGTTACAAACAATTTTGAAATAAACACGTTTGAAATATTTTTAGAACTCTTTTATGTTGAAGAGATTTTAAATAAACTATTTTATCTCAAATTGGGTTTCTTTCATAAGTATTTTAGCTTATTTAAAGTATTAGAATTTCAAAAATATTCTTGTACTGGTTTTTTTATAATTGATTAGATTTCTTTGTATAACAAAGTTTTTTTTAGGTAATTTATATATAAAATACTTTTTTACATTTTTTCTTACAAAAAACTTATAATTTTCTAAAAAGATAATTTTATAAATTCTATTCGGATAAATTGTCGGATGGACCTTGAATTAAAACTCTCCACAGATGATTTTATTATCTCAGATTCCATCCCCCTTTTTTGCGTAGTTTAAAACTTGTTGTGACGATTCGATAGTCCTGTCGACAAAGATTGTAGAGGGTATTTATCGTTATGTGTCCGGTTAAGTAACATTAAACTCGATTATGCATGTAAAGCTACCGCTGTCAAAAGCTGGCTACGTCAATTGAAACAGCCAGTCTAAACCGGGATGTGGATAAACGGTCTACTTTCAAAAACCCCTAACCGACGCATCGCACTATCGCAGTCCATTCCATTGATTTCCTTTCTTGGTTCTTAGCTCTCTCTTTCTCAGTTTCTCCACTACAAGTTCTAAACTCAGTCTCTCTGAAATCCAACTCAAATCGCAAATCAACTCGACTCACTAAGTCTGAAATCATCAACCATTCGGCATTCACCAAATCACAACAAACTCGCTCGCGAAAATCATTGACGGACGTCTCCTCTCTCGTCAAAACTCAACGATGACCGCTCCGTCCTCGAGGGAAATCGACGGCAAGAAGCGCTCCATATCGTTGACGACAAACTCCATTCCTCGATCCAGCTTCAATAAATGATTTCGGTGCAAACTTTATCCTAGAGCAATGGTAAGTGCATGTATTTTTTGAATTACCGTGTATATATATCTTAGGAAGATATGTTTCAATTGGCAGAAAGTGGTGGGTGAATTAGCTATATAATTTGTGGATGTAGCAATTTTGTCAATTAATGGTATTGACCTAAATGGTTATTTTATTATACTGAACCTATATACAATTTTGGATACAAAGAGCTCTCTTTTTCACTAGAAAAGCAAATAAATTGAAAAGGCAAGGCTCTTGCAGTTTGATCCTTGAATCGGGTCCCTTTTTCTTTAGGTTTTCCCTTGGGTTTTTCTGGATGGGTTCTCACTCTTTTACCTTGTGATCTTGCTTTGCGTATATGGGTGTACGTTGTGCTTGTGGATCGGCTTGGTCTGGTCAGAAGCGTGATTTTGTGATCAAGATCTGGTTTGTGTTCATTGAGCCTTGATCTGTCATATTTTGTTCTGATGATTTAGGGTTGCCAGATTAAGTAGCTGAGGTGTGTGTTCTTTAGTTCTTGGATGCAGTGTACGGCAAGATCGCCATAGAGAGAGTGTTCGTCTTTCAACAATATATTAAAGCACTTGATGATATGATGTTATGTTTGGAGGGAACACGATAGTAAATAAGGAACTAAAATACGTAAAAAGAAGCTGATATGTGGCTAGTTTCTAGAAAGCACGCATGCCTTTAGGATTTTTCTTTATATTCTATCAAAAAGAAGGGTAAATGAGGGCTATAGATTCTGTATAAAGAACCAGGTGTGTTTGGTAAAAACCAGACGGAGGGCACCAAACCGCTCTGAGGCAGGGTCAAGGTTCAACGATCCAAGTCGGTGTGGACCGCTGTGACCCGATGGCTTTGACAAGTTTAAAATCTAACAATAACAGCCGCTCAACAAAACCTTACCATCAAACCCTAAAGGGTTTGCGAGTAATAATAGGCAACACAAAACACGGCTAACGTGCAAATCGATCGATCGATGCGAGAGCCGGTCGGACACACACGGCAGGGTAGATCGGATGATGTGGAGGGCGAATCGGCAGCTGCACGTGAGGGCATCCGGGGCAAGGAAAATGGAGATGTGGAAGTCACTGGTCGCGGTTGCTTTTTGGTGAGAGATGATCTTCGTGAACGACGGCAAGGGAGCTTGGAGAAGGTAGATCGGTGCTGGGAAGCGTCGATGCCGAGAAGGTCGATCGACCCCGGAAATGGAAGAAATATCTCGCGGGCGAAGGGGAACGACGAAAGTCACGCGGACAGTGGAGAATGAAGCTGAAGCGCCAGAAAGTCAGAACTCAAAAGGTGGTTTTCGACAGTAAGGGAGGTGGAAGGTCACGCGAAAAGGGGGAGTCATTGCCGATTTGCATTTGGCAGAGGGTGGTTGGCCAGATTTGACAACCTACATCAGGACGACTGATATAGGCATACACTCCAGCCTGGAGTGTGTTGTGGTTTATAAACTTTAAATAGTTAAAACGAGATGTGAGCGACCGGAGAGGCCAGGTCATCGTCCAATGTCTCGATCCACGCCGGGGCCGGTCCGGGTTTTTTTTTAAAATACAGAGCGGACATGAAGCCAAAGGAGGCGGCGGGCGAACCACCTAGAATTCAGATGAGGAGATAGTATTGTTGTTTGCAACTGTTTGGTTCTTTACACATTACCCCATTTAACACATAAGAGTGATTTGTGATCTGTCTAGTAGCTTGTCAGAGTTGACCTCGTCGTTTGGGCTAGTAATTCAAGATCAATATTTCTTTACAAAGGACATTAGTCTTTGCATTTATCTTGAGATTACATAGCGGTGAACCTGCAATTGGTTGAGTGATAATTGTTGTCTTTCTGTGTGATAGGAAATAAAGATTAAAAATAGACAATGAAACAAGGTGATGGACAATTTGGGGTATTTGTGACACAAGCGTAGGTGAAGGTAGGGTGATGGGTTATGATGATAATGATGGTGATGAATTTTGCATGCATAGTGTGTGAAGCTCAATCAACATGGAGACGGATCAAAGAAAAAACACTTGCATAAAATATTTTGTTATTAATTATTATGTATTTTGTCATTTAATATGTAAATACAACATTATGTTTGGATTTAGTCTTTGAATTGTTGTTAAATACTTAAATTTTGTTAAGATTGTTATTGAATTTGAACTTTGAATCATGTTGGACAGTAATTAAATTGTTATTGTCTTATTAAAAAATAGAAATCTAAAAAAAAAAAAAAATTTTTCTTAAAAATGTGCTGACGTCATCATGATGTGTGATGATGTCACCGATCCAACCGACAATCCAACAGATTGGATCAGTTGAACAGTGACCTGACCAACAGAGCAGGTTGTCCTCCGATCCGGTTTTTAGAACAATGAACTTGTGTGTATAGTCTTTATACTCTTATATATTCATGTTAGTAGATGGGTTATTTTATTATTTAGTCTTTGTACCATGGTGTTAAGTAGTGGAGTTATTTGTCATCTGTACTCTTATGTATGCATGTTCAAATAACTAATCTTTCAAAAGGCCCTATTGATGATCTTTAATAATAACTGCATACACTTATGAACAACCTCCAAGTTCACCAATTTTTCATTGCTGATTTCTACAAGTCGTGTTTATCATAATTCTCCTCCAAGCTCAGCTAAATGGCCTTTGATGTTTGCTCCATGTTGTGTTTCGGTTTGTCAATATAATCTAACATACAAAAGTGGGTTCCTCTCAAAAATTAGGATAATGTTTGGGTTTCTCTAAAAAATCGAGGCCAGATCCACATCAGCCTGTGCATCAAAATTGTAATCATATAAGAAAATATCCTCAGCTTACAGAGATAAAAACCTTGTATTATAGTTGGAAGCCTTGTGTCACATAATAAGCGGATAATTCCAGCAAGATCTTGCATTTTGTTAAAGCTGCTACCAAATCTCTCCTGCCGGTGCTTCCAGTGTACTTGAAGAGGTTGGCTCTTTAATAAAAAGCGGCTGTAGAATGTAAGTATACCCATTACATCTGCATACCCAACAAGGGGTTACAGTGATCACTTCGGCAAATTTTACATAGATAACCTGTGCCGTGCCAGTGAACAAGTTTATATTGCATCAATCACCAAGTTAAATGTAATCCACTAAGGGAAATACTTTAATAGGTGAATTAAAAAACAAAACATACTACTGTGAATCTGAAATAAAATCAGTCATGAACTCATGAACGGGAATAATGTGCTGCATTAATAAGTTCTGGCATATTAGCTTAAATTTGAAATAAAGACTTGAATGCATACCTGGTGCTGATAAATTACTTCTGGGGTTTGTCTTCTTCTAACAACAAATGGATCATAGACTTGACAACGTCATTATTTACAATCGTTGAATTCTGAATAACAAACAAAGAAAGAAGTTACGAACAACTCCAGATGCAATTCATGTTATGCAAAACGAAAAACAAATGAGAAAAGGAAATAGTTAGTGCCGGATATTAACATAGCATAATCAAGAGAATGAACCAAAATACACGTAATACAAAGACTGGACTGGAACAAGATAATGGACAAATATCAAAATAAACTTGGAAGGAAATGAATATAAATATTGTTTAAAAGCAAAAAGCTAAAATACCACCAGAATACCATGTCACCCATACCACAAACCAATAAATTAATCCCACCAATGAATTTTTTCTCTCATCTATCTTTACAATTATGTGATTGTTAGTTATTTAATTGAAAAATTATGCAGTAGGTTTGTATTGGTTGGCGATACAGCTATGTAATACTCCTGTAAAGGGTACGAAAATGGTACCTCAGGATTTCTAATCATCTTCTTCAAAATATAATGAAGAGTTACTCGCAGTTCCTTAAACAAAACAGCAGTTTGGGCCGGGGCATTAAGGTTTAACCATCCATCTATATTGACCTGTCCAGTCTGTAACACGAAACACCAACACAGACTTCAAAAAGATAGAACAGGAAAGCTTAATAAAAAATAAGATATATATATAAACTTTCTCTGGTTTGCTAGGCGCTATACATTTATCCGATGATAGATTGACATCCCTAGTTGTTAAACCAGGCATCAGATACTTTATGTGGTAATATTCCTAGTTGTTAAACCGTCTAAATATGTTTACAATTGACAGCATATAGCATCCAAATACACATGCTTTATATGTTGCAAAAGATAGGAAGAATAGTTACCTGGTGCTGAACACTGATGGAGCCACCAAACAATAAAATAGAGAAGGGAGAGATGATCGTAGTATCTCGCAGAAATACTTTATTGGTTTCAACCTGAGAATATCAAATCAATCATTAAAGGGAAACTTTCTTCAAGTGAGTCCGAATTCTATCTCTTAAACATAATGGGGTCTCTTGGCCCATGTCTGTTGTGATTGTTTGGGCAAAGCCCAGACAGTTACATCACAACGGGATCATAATTCATAATGCATTAATGCTCAATTAACAAAAGCAGAAACATTAAATGACCAAAAAGAAGAGAGAGAGAGATAAACTGCATCCACTAGCTGAAAGTGCACATACCTTTTCAAGGAAGACCAAGAATGGATGCTGAAATGCTTTTAAATTATTGTTGATTGAAGAAGGATGTATGTGAACCTCTCTTCTTCCATCATACCAGACTGGATGACCCTTTACTGAAGTACTGGACTTCCTAAGATTATTGAGAGCCGTTCCGGCAATGCCTTGTTCAGTGGCAGCTACATTAGGATATAAACCTGCACATAATATTGCCTGCAAGAATGCCTTCAGAATCCATGTCTAGTACAAGTGTCAATGCCAAATTAGTCTGAAATTAGACGTAAAATACAACTTCCTACTTTAAAGTTGGAGACTTTGTTAAGTATATACAACCATGGGCAGATCTCCTCCAAATTGATCTTAAGCTTGGTTGAGAAATTTAAAGTTGAGTGCAAGGACATGTTATAATCAAAGCATGCAATAAGAAATTAGCTCTGTAAAGTAATTGTCCTCCAGTATAACATAAGAGTTGTTGTGTAACATGAACAATTTACTGTGAAAGAGACAGAAGATTGTGCAAGGAACCAAAAGCATCAAAAGCCATATGGGTCTTACCTTCACAATTGACGAATGATGAGCATACATATTGAATGGTTGTGATTTATCAGAAAACCAACTGTCAAGCTTTTCTTTCTTTTTTCCCTCAGCCTGAACCAATAAAGCATATACTTGTTAAAATCCTCAATTTCAAATAAGAAAGTGCAAATTACTGGACAAAATTTTTGTAAAATATAAATGAACACTCAAACATGGCATCTGTTAGGATCCCACATTGAGAGGAAAAATGGGTGGGCATGAGGTTTATAAGGAGTTGGGCATCCTTTCTTGGCAAGCTGGTTTTCTAAGGAGAGTTCTACCTAAGCCCACAAAAGAACTACTGTCCAGCCCAATTTCTATCAAAGGCCCACTGCCCAACCCAATTCCTATCAAAAGCCCATTACCCAGCCTAATTCCTATCAATTTGGGAGTGGTTCCTATCAGTATCACAAACTTATATTTAAACCAATGAAACAAAGGCATGGCACCTGATATTTCTTTGGAAGATCAATGAGCCCAATGTCTGCCAGCAATGTTCCAAACTGTATCCTCATGTCTCTGACATTCACAAAAATATCAGAAAACCCAAAAATATTAATTGAATATGCATATTGCTCAAATTACTCATGATATATTTGTCATGCTATTCTTAACATAATTCTGCTAACATGATTTGACAGTCATGTACCCCAAATAGTATCAAGAATAATTGCCAATGCATTAAGCTGCTTCCTTTTTGACAGTATAAAGTATTCGTATTAAATGTTTCAAACAGACGAGAAATAAAATTTACACCTGATCATGTACATGACTGAACTGCTTAAAAAGTAAGAGCTGCAAAATTGATTGGCAGCTTTAGCTCCTTTCTGCAAAAATTAAGTTTCACATATAAGAGAAAAATGTACTAAGAGAAGCACTAAACAACAGATTATACTGAAAAAACATGCCATTAATATGAGTTCAGTAAACAGTCAACAACTACAGGATCTGATCCAGTAAAGCTTATTAGTAACCAAATCACGAGTTCATGACACTGATATGAGTTCCGCATTCAGTCAAAAAGTACAGTGGCTCCAATAAAGTCTATCAGTAATCTGATATCACAAGGACCATGGTAAAATTTTTAGAAAATTTGCCTCGCTAGCTTCTGTTTTTGTTTTTGTTTTTGTTTTTTTTTTGGGTAAAGGTACAATGGGGAAGAAAGGGTTATCTGATAACTGTGACAGAGGTATATCATGACTGCAAGTAGGAAAACACAAGATCTGAATTCAAGAAGTCTATTCCCAGCAAAGTAAATCATTTATTACTTGGAGAATATATCAACTTNAGAAGGTTGTATAGGAAATAGAAGACAAAAAAAGAGAAAAAAGAAAATTGGATAATTGATTTACCAATTAATTTTACTAATTTTTTCATACTTAATAAGAAGATCAAATAATTATTTAATAAAAAGGTTAATTAAATTCATAATTTTTTATAGTTTTATAAATAATTATTATATACAAAACTTTATTTAAAATCCACCCAAGCTAACCCAATTTTTCAAACTTTAAATTTAGGTTAGTTAATTTGGGTAGGGTTTTCATAATTGAAATGGGTCAGGTCTAAACCCACCCATTTTCCATTAACAGTTCCGTGGGGTTCTGTCACTCCCTTAGGGTTTGCTTGGGAGTTTTTTTTTCACTGGTTTTAGGAGGTTTTTAATTAAAATGGTTTTGAGGTGTTTAAAAACCCCCACTTGCTAGATTTTTAATAGGCTAGTTTTGACTGGTTTAAAAACCCCCCAAAACCAGTGTAGTGTATTTTCGAGGGGTTTATAAAATACCCCAAATCAGGGTGTTTTGGCTGGTTTAAAACTTTTATCCCAAAAAAACCCCTTTCCACTCCCTTTGCTGCACACAAATCTCTCGCTGCTGTTGACTTCTCTCTAGCACACAAATCTCTTGCTGTTGCACACGAAATGAGGGAATGGTTTTAATTTGCTGCACACAAATCCCTTTGTGCACACAACTCGTTTGGGTTTGTATTAGATTCTCCTCACTTTCAGTAAATTAGGCGTCAACCAAATTAGGCATTTTGTGTTAGAATGTTTGTAGGAGAACGCGTTTTTCCTTTGTTTGCACTTGAAGGAATGGCAAGTATGAAATGATTCTTCGTCTAATAGTGGAATATAGGTGATACATTAGAATAAGGAATTTATGCAGTACTTCTCAGTGGCAATTAAACAAACAACTCCAATAGTTTCTTTCTCAAAAAATCCTTTCAATAATAATAATGTATTAACTATTACATCTTCTCAAAACCTGAAAAGAAAAAGCTGTCAATTCACCGGCTATTTAAAAACCACCATTTTCAACGCCTCTCAAGCAGACCGTGTCCAGTATTTGACCGCAATCTGTTTCTCCCATTTAACTTAATTTACAATCTTTCCTTTCTTTTCAAATTTTATTTGCTTGCTATTATTCTTCATCACAGGAGTCAAAACTATGTCCAGCATTCCAATTTGATAATTATAACGTCTTCTACTCTTACTAAATCGGATAACCATGACACAGACTAATGATAATGAAAGTAAAACCCAAAACCAGGTGTTAAATAAGAAACATAAGTACAACTTTGTAAATACACCTTTTTCACAAGACTAAGTAGATTAAAACATGCAAGTCAAATTTATAACTCCAAAAGTTAATTAAGCAAAAACGAGAGTGTTTTAACTTTATGGATATTTATGTAAATTTATCATTTAAAAAAATTATCAGTACCGTTGGAAAATAAACTCTCAAGCATAGATTGGGTGTTTTAAAAACCGCTACTAAAAATCCCTCAAAACCGCTACGGTGGTTAATCTTCAAAACCGCTACGATGATTTACCCTTATAACCGCTGTCCTTAGGTTTAGTGAAAATCTTAAGACCCACAGGTTCGTAAAATGACACATAAGCCCCTTCTTTTACAGACGTTAATTAAATTTGAATTTTAGGGCTAATGGCACTGACATCCAGTTTCCCCCCACCACAAGCGATTTGGCTAACCCCACTGTCACTTGCACCCCCAGACAATCCAGCGGCCCGCTAATGAGGTAGATAGGAGATGTTATACAATTTTCAATTTAATTTATTTTTTTCTTTCCTTTTTTTATGGTATTTGCAGCGGTGTCTCTGGTAATGGTTGTTTGTGGGTATTGAGGTTTTGAATAAAGAAGAAATTGAAGAATGTTCTGGGTTGGATTTTTCATGTGTTTAAGGGAGAAAATAATAGAAAGTTTTGGAATGAGAAGATATTTGGGTTTGAAAATTATGAATTTGTAGAGAAAGATTTAAGAGGAAATGAAGATTTGGGTTTCGGAATTATTGAAGTGTAGAGAAAAATTTAAGAGGAGAGATCACAGTTCTAGTTAATTAATTTTTTTTTTAATAAAATTATTCTATTTTTTTTTTTTTTCTTAAATTTTTTGGCATCATTTTATGATTTTAGGCTTATTATACCCCAGAAAGCCACCCAGCAACTCTGTGTAAACCCTAAACCTCTGTAAACATGTTGCGAATAGCTTCGCCGCCGTTGGCTTCTCTCTCCACCTCACCCTCCTCTTTCCGTAAGGGTAAAACTATACACTATCTAATTTTTTTTTTTTTTTTTTTTTTTTTTTTTCTAGATGCTTTATCTTTTAACATAATTTGGTGTTTGTGTAGGTTTTATCATTACTCGCAACATTTTAGAGCGTCTGTTTCTGCCTCTGCTTTATCACATCAACCTTGTTGGTAAGCTACTTCTAGTAATTTATCCTCATATTAAAAATTTAGAGCCTTGTTCACAACATTCAATAATATTGATGAATAGATATTTTATATTATGTATTCTATAGTTTTGGTTCATATATTATAATTAACTACAATTATTACAAGTTTGTATACCCACACTATATGTTCAAAGTCACAAATGTACTATAATAGTATTTAAAAGAATTTTTTGTTTCAATCTCATACATTGACAAGTTATCATTTTCTAACACAGTTATAATAAAAATAGTTTAGTAATTGATTTTCGAAGGTTGAGATTCAGTTACATGACATTCATAATTTCTTGAAAATGATTCAAGTTGGATTGGATCTCAATAATTCTAAGTTCTTCACGAACTATGTTACAGATTAATATTGTATAAAAAAAAAAAAGAAGATAAATGTAATTTTCATATTTTGATATTAGGAGGGAGATAGAAATGGAGAAAACAGATGGAATTAAATGGTAAATTTTAGCAATTTATAAAATATGCAAGAGAGAATGAAAAATATAAGAACTATAATGACTAATGAGTACACTTAAAATATAAGATAAAAAAATCTAGACGTAACTTTTGATGGTATTAGTTTCTAATAGGTGTCATTGTTAATTGTTTATTGTATTGTAAGTTATATTTTTAATTACTTGGGGTAATTTATAAAAACTTTGTACTTTATTGTTTATATATTATATTTTATCCCTAATAAGGACAATAGGCCAAAGTAGCTCCCACATTTCCTCACCATACTTGTCTTTTCTTAACATTGAAATATTTCTGAAAAATGCAGTGTTGATTATTATATAAAAACATGCTACAACACTGAGTCACTGATATCAAATGGCCAGAGGGCAATTGCCTTTGGGCTGGACAATGGAAGAAGCTGCAATATTGGCTTTTGAGTATGAAATAATCTGGTTTGTACATCACTCAATTTTTATTTTTTTAATAATCGTTAATGGTCTTAATTTATCAACAAACAGTGAATGCTTTATGGTGCATTTTTTGGGCATGAATTAAAAAGAGAAGAAAGACACCATAGTGAACTTGAAAATTTCACCATGAAACTTTCCACCCCTTGTGATCTTGCCATGGTGAATGTAAAAAGTTAGCCATAGTTAATATCGTTCTTGAAAATGACAAATTTGGTATTACAATCTCGTGATCATTCTGCTTTGCTTTTTCCATAAGGCATTTCTTTTCTGCTCAGTTACTTTAATATGTTAAATGTAATTATGCTGAAGAAGAACACGGTATGCTAAGTGGTTTACATTGCAATGGTTCTCTTGTTGCCAGCTACTAGATGCTGCGTCAAGTATAGAGAGGATTAAATGTGTGTGTAACTTACTTTTTGTTCAACTACCTCATACCATTATTTGCAAGCCCCAACTAGTTGATGGAAATTGCAATATTCCATAAAATCCCTTTAGCAAAAGGGAGTTTATAGTGTGTGCTACTTCATTTTCTTATATCTTTCTGGCTTTCCTTCTGCTTAATACTCCCCTTGTCAGGGACTAGCATACCATTGACCAATGTGTTCTCGATTTCACCGGCACCACAGCAATTTTCTCAAGAACCCTTACTTTACCTCTAGTTCAGGCTCCAACTTTGTGCCGTTTTGTTGAAAAGATGACTTTGATGAGAGTACTGATGGTTATGACAAAGATTCTGGAGATTTGAGTTTCTTTGGTAGTCTCATGGTGACATTAAAAGAATAAAAAATCTAAATTTGATAGATTTGATAATGTTGAGGATTCTGATGAAGAATTAGAAGATGGGGAGCATGATAGTGATTGTGATGATACTTTCACAGTTTTGGATTCTTTTGTAAAAACTGTTTAATAAAGATGAGATTAGGAGAGTTGAAGTGGAGGAAGATGACTTAGACACCCTTTAGTGAGAGAAGTTTGTAGGTTGATTGAACTTAGGTCAGCTTGGAGCCCAAAGCATGAAGAGGAATTGAGACACCTGTTCGAAGCCTCAAGTCTTGGCAGGTTTGTGCTGTTTTGCGCTCTCAGGCTGATGAACGTGTTGCTTTGAAGTTTTTCTACTGGGCTGATAGGCATGGCGATATCGGCATGATACAATAGTTATTATGTGA